TGTGAGTGTGTCTGTCTCTGTATGTGTATGTGCCTGTTTGTGTTCGCTTATGCACGAAACACAAAGCGATGAGAATATATATACCACTTTTTAGGGATTAGCCGGTGAGTTTTATTGACTCGTTAGCTTAAAATTTTGTTTTGACGATGATACCTCGCTCTGATGATGTCCATCAAATGACGGAATCGAAGGAGGTTGCCTCGGAAACAGCCTCAGCAAGAATCTTCCAGGAAAGCCATTCGACAGCTGGTCAAGATGAATCGGCCGTCGTCTTCTGGCGGAACCGACCTTCGAATCTCTTCATCAAACACTTTCACTCGAAATGGAAGTAAGCTCAACAATTATGAAACAAGAGATTCCTCGAAACCTAACTTTTCTTCATATTTATTTGCACAGCTCACCTACTCGAAATGGAAGTAATCCCAACAACTATGAAACAAGAGATTCCTCGAAACCCAACTTTTCTTCATAGACTCGAAATGGAAGTAAGCTCAACAATTATGAAACAAGAGATTCCTCGAAACCCAACTTTTCTTCGCATAAAGTAGAGACTGTCTTTTTCCTCGAAAACAAACTAAACCCCAAATCAGTTCATGACATTGGAGCCTCCAGTTCGTGGAAAGGACTGTGTGAATTGGCCTCATCAGAAGCAGTTAATTTGAGCATAGACGTGGTGCCACTTCGATCCACTTCACCTACTCGACTCACTTGTGGCCACTCAAATCAAGAAGGGACCGAGAGTTGGCCATAACCTCCCAAAATGCCATTTCCTCAAAACTGTAGATTCCACCTCGTCCGACCCTTAGAAGCACCCATAAAAAGATTCTACATAAAGTCGCTATCTTCTTCCTCCCATGTCCGAAATCTGTTCACTGATCGTCCTTGTCATACTACTTCTTCATTCTACTTCTCAAAACATCTTTTTTATCAAATATATATATATATATATATATATATATATATATATATGTGTGTGTGTGTGTGTGTGTGTATGTGACAGCATAACTTCGCCCAACTACGCATTTACGCGTTGCGCGCATTTCGAGATGGCATCTTCGTGCTGCCTGTTATTTGCAACCGGTTCTGCTCATATGCTCCATGTGCCGTTGTACCCTCTCCGGTTGCTATGCTCTGGTCTTTCACATTTTGATTGCTGTGACCGGAAGCTATCTGATTGCTGCCAGCAATCATCTGAAGGTGGATAATAAATGGATTACGGATAGAATCTTTCCAAAGGTGAAATTTCTGCCAATCAAGATGAATGAAGCTGATTCTAAGCAGCTGGAGAATGACATAAATCTAGTGTTCTATCATCTCCTTGACCGGCTAGATGATAACGTTATCAGCCTTATCTACTCGTACGGCGTCTCTTTGGAGGTGTTCGCTTGGTTGGGCATATACGTTGACTACTTTCGAGTACGTCTGTGCGTGTACGCACACTTCTTCTATAACATTGGTCTCTTGATTGCTGCAGGAATAGTGGTACACGACTTTTATGCCTACCGTGACGACACAAAATCATTCATTATGAAGACATTTTCTGACCTCATCCGCACAAACTATTCATCTGGCCGTAAGGATAGGCACGGACCCTTGGGAGGATTTTATCGTCTCTGGGATACTGTGCAAAAGACCCTTCACTGCTGTGGCATGAACAATTACACTGACTTTTCGGCGCCCGACAACTCAAAAGACATCTACTTGCCCATGTCGTGTTGCAACGCCACTGATCTATCCAAGTGCACTGGAAGCTGGAGGGTGCGCAATCTAAATTCACCTTGTGGACCAGAAATATGGAAGCACATGGAGACCAACTATGAGATGGTCTGGTCGGCCCTAGTTGCCATCGAAGTTTGCCTCAGTCTGTTATTGCTCATCAGTTGCCTCAAGCTTTGCGCCGACCCCACGGAATTGGCCAGTGACTTGATTTGTCTCTGCGATTCAGGCAATAATGACCTGGACTCCCAGTACGAGCATGGAAACTATGAATGAGAAGTTTCCATGTCGCCCCTTCTCTCAGAACTTCTTCGGCAGTAGAGCGCTAGACCTGCCGCCAGGAAAGTCGAACTACAATCGAATCTGGCAATTAAGGACTTTGTGTTAAGACTGTCATTATTTTTCGCCTCATATAACTGTCATATTATACGATTTCAGATAAGCCAAAAAATAAAGCAAGCTACCAAAATGATTATTATCTTTCTATGATAGTGATTTTCAAGTGTATCAATGATTCAGGAATAAGAACTCTATTCATTCCATATTGCTTAAGGTAGATTTAGGATTGATGGTTTATTAATAATAGAAAAATTAAATGTATTCACCCTATTTCGTGTAAGGTGATGAAGGACTTGTAGTAGAA